AGTTTCCGGTAATATTTGTGCATATTAATCACCTAATTTGCATAAATAACCAACTTTCACACTGATATCTCAGGTACTAAACATCACATATCAATGAATGTACATGGATGCTGTAGGACAATAGACAGACCTGGATAATTGTGGGTTAAAATCTGTACATATTAATTACCTAATTTTCATAATTAACCAATTTTTAGCTTTCACACTGATATCTAAAGTACTAATTATTCCATTTCAATGAAACTTAGTACAAAGATGCTCTAGGACAATGAACAAACCTAATTAGTTTGGGGTAAACATCTGTTCATATTAATTCCCTAATAAGCATAATAATTCATAATTTTTTGGTTCTAATCACATTTCAATTAAACTTGGAGACATAGATTTTCTGTTACATTGCGCAGACCTCATTAGTTTTACACTCAAATCTGTTCATATTAATTTTCTGATTTGCATAATTAGTTTTCAGCTAAGTAATTTCGAATTATATTTAATGTGTCTCCAATACTCTCAGCACATGGGAGTTCTTTCTAAGCTTTCTTTGATTTATCTATGTCATACAATATACTGATGTTTGTTTCCTTTTCAGAGCACTGTTGAGTTTTTCATTGGCAATAATCGTTCACAACCAGTTCTGCTTCTCAAGGAAGCCTTATCACCAAGAGGAAGATATGATTTGCTTACGAAAGCTGATGGTGTGCTGCCACTAGAGGGTTCCACACATGTCAGTATAGCATGTGACGGTAAACCATCAAGGGTAATTACAAATAGTTTAACATTTCTGTAAATATTTTATTTTGGGATTGAATTTTGAAACATTCTCTTTCTGTTTCTGCTTTCCTGTACATTGAGAAATAGGTATATGAGGGGAGTATGTCTGTTGTTGTCATTGTCGTTGCCAACTGTTATTTTGTGGTTGCAATAAATCAATCAATTTTTTTTATTCAATCTTCTTCAATCTTGGATATATATTGTCAGTCATTTTGGAATCTAGACGAAGTTTTGATGACCATTGATAGGGAAAGGTTGTGATTGTTTTATTTTCCCTTTATTCGTCCAGCATTCCTATCAGTGCTAAAGGTCAAAAGTCAAATTTGGGCAAAGCTGAATTCATCATGAATAATCCTGACTGCTACAGCATACTGGTAAAAAGTAATTTTACATCACTTGTTGCCCATAGCAACTAATTAATTAATTAATTAATCTCTTTCTATTCAGTTATGTTACTTGACGTTATTATCTACTGTAAAGCATGGTGTTCGGGTAATCACCATTAAAGATAGATACATATTTGTCAATAAATCGAAAGAAGATTTATCTCTGAGAACAGTAGCTATTGTAGACAGTGATACAAAGGTGAGTAGTATAGAACTGAATAGTGTTTGTAGATGTTGCATATTTTGAGATATTTATAAGCAACAACGTGATACTCTTTTAAATCGGTACCACTAACGATAATATATGACCCGCAGAGCCGTAATAGATGAGAAGTCGGTTCTATGCAAGAGTGAGCCACATGCAAGAGCAGCTGCCTGGCGTAGACTTTGACTCCAATATGACACTGCGGGAACTCATTATTTTTTTTATATACCCTCAGTATGTGTTAGGTATTTAATCCAATTATGGCTCGTTTTATAAGATGTTATAGCCCTGGTACATGCATATCCATATCGCTACGCTGAGATATGCAAATGAAATGCCAAGTCAATACACTTCATGCAAAGTCTTTAGTGAATCACTTTTCTAACAACATAGAGGTATAAAATACAAATTTTCTCAAGTCAGTTTTAATTTCTGTCAGCTTTGCGATGATTATTCCTTATAAACATAAATGATTCTTGCTGATATTAATCATTTTCTCCTGCGTTTTATTCATAGTTTGACAAAAGCAGTCTGGTCCCCAAAATCCAGATGGTTCCAGCTAGCCAATCAGATTCAAGTGCATCTGTACAAGCGATTGAGTTTTGGGACGTGCCGAGATACGACCAATCACCTCCAAGCATGAACCACGTGCAATATTTATCATTTACATTTGCAAATATTGGAACATCGAAGAAGAGTTGGAGAAATTGGACCCAGTTCGTTCCAATAGATACAAAGTTACCCAGGCATTCTGTTGCCATGCCAATCAGGAATGTTGACCAATCAAATGGTAGCATAGACAGGAAGGACCCCCTAGCTTATGTAGTAACTGTCATGGAAGCTAATGGTGTAGTTTACATCATGGTGGATGTCAACCCAATGCCGAGAATTATAATTCATAATAATTGTTCTTTTCCACTTCATTATGGTCAAGGTCTGATTCAAGACTGTACCGAAGGTAAACAAATCTATATCTTTTCAGAATGTGGAAATGTTTTCACATTAACACTTTGAGCACCATAATTTTTTCTCGGGATAATTTTTGTGCAACATTTTTCTGTTTTGATGTATTTTTTTTTTAAATATTTCTGATAATATTGGACCAAATGGATGTAATTGTCTACTGTGGAATACTTTATTTTAGCTGGAATTAATTTCTGCTGAAAAGGCATTTCGGGTGTTTTGTATGGAATTTATTTTCACTGATTTTTGACGAGTTGAATGTGAAATATAGGGAAAAATGTATATTCGTTGGATTTTATTTTCACGGAATCATTCTTTCAGCGAAAATAGCAAAAATAAAGTATTCTACAGTATATGCTACATGTTTTGAGCAAAATTTTAGTATAATTATGATTAAATTATGTGCCTTTAAAAAAAAATTTAAATGGTGAAGAAATTTGGCTTTGGCGCTCAAAGAGATAATGAAACTTCTGCTGATCTTGTTATTCGTAGAGGCTTTTAGCAGATTATGTGTTGTGCTTCGATAATTAATTAGCCAAAAATAAGTTATATTATTTTCACAGAAAAATCGTTGTTTATTTTCATCATCATTTACTCTATAGCACTTAATTACTTGCTAGTTTTTATTTTCACTTGTTTCATCCATAGCTTTTTACTGTGCGAAATTGACATTTGATGAATTTGCAGTGTAACAATTGATTAAAAACTTAGTGAATTAATTTGCCTGCAACATCAAAACCGTTAAAATTGGAGAATATTTCCCCCTCTATGATATCAACAATTTTGTTTTGTGGCTTGTACAATTTTTCGAAGAAATTATTTGATTTACTAAAATTAAGTTCTCTGCATTAGATACATATTCACAAGCCAAAGTTTTATTTGTGCAGATTCTATATTTCTGTGCGCCCTCTTTGGCAACTTTCCTGGAAGTCAAATATTCGGCGTTTCGCATGCGCGCGCATGCCGTTTTGGGGTGTGACATAAACTTGCACTTGTTATACTGTGCTTTTGGGTATACCAATCGACGTCACAAAAATAAAATTTCTTTCTATCGACTACCAGCAAACTGACATGTTTGTATTTTCAGCCACAACAAAGCTGGGGTATTTTTGCACCCAGTCTTGCTACTTCCAAGAAAGTGGTCCATATGACATTCCACTATTTTGTTTTATGTTAATTGTCATATGCTATGGTGATTTTGATTGGCCGCATGTTTTAGAGGCACATCCAATCAGATCTGTGTATTTTCCTAGATGTCCAATATATGAAATATCGGTGAATAACGCAGATGTCTCTGTCAGAGTATATTTGAGTTTGCATTAAATCAAAAACTTACAATTTGAAATATATTTTGGTTTGAATTCTAGAAATGGTGACAGTTGTGGAAGAACAGGATATGTTGTCACCCTTGCCACTGGTGGAGGCGCATAGGTCAACTTGTTATGAATTCCCACATGTGCAGTCGCAGTTTCCGCAGTTCAACAACCAGAACCAGATTCAACCAAAACTTCATATCTGCATTGCGAGAGACCTTGATACTGTCTATCTCAAACAGGAAGAAAAAGTGGAGCAATGGAGTGATGAAATTAATATTGGTGAATTTGGAGGTCAAAGGTCAGAGATCATGATTCTGTCTCACGGAGGTTACGTGTTTGTTAATAGCAGGACAGTTGGTGCTTGTACACATGTTTTCATCGAAGAACTCAGTATGGAGGGACAGACAGGTCAGAGGTCGAAGCTGGGTGTTCCCTCCCTGCTGCGTCAAGAGACTGAAGCAGAGTCACCAATGGATATCACTATAGAGGGCAGTGTAATGGCTTCTCGGGTCTGTTTTGTTCTCATGGACGAATTACATAATCGAGTGTCGAGTACAGAAGTTTTGCGATTCATGATGGACGATGTACATCTTGCGTATTTCCCATTGGTTAAACCAGATCACCCAACAACTATGCAGCAGGGGGTGCAGTTTGCTGTCAGAACAGCGCAGATTGATAATCAGCTGTTCCAACAGGGTGCATTTGATTTCCCTGTGTTGTTGATGGCACAGCACAAGATCCCGTCCAGAGACGAATCAGAGTTTGCTGTTCTACCAATCAGTGCGGCCTCGGAGCACAGTTATCAAACCAGTATCTTTGCTGTAAGACTAATCTTTGAGATGGACCAGTTCAGATCTGTCTCGTGCCTCCATGACGTTACAGTGTCTGTGAAACCATTGACGCTCTTCATGGAGGACCAGTTCATATACCAGATGGTCAGGGTGATCAGCAGCTACAAAATACCACACGAACTGAAACAACCAATCAAATCTAAGTTTCCAAAGTCAGGTGATCAATTGGAGCCAATGAGGTGGAAGGATGTCCCGGCAGAGGCCAAAAGTCTCTCATTGGCTCTGATTAACCCCTTAGCTGTCAATCATCTTCGGATAAAGCCGCTTACGATTCTTGCCAGTGCACATGCATCTCTGAAGGTTTATCTGGCGTCGGATCACACTTCTCTGTCTTTTGGACAATTCCGATGCGGTCCAGTATTTACGACAACGAGACAGTTGGTGCAATGTCTAACGATGCACTATGCGTCAGGTGCTCTCTTTAAAGCGGGTGAGTCTAAATATGACCCTTGTAACTGCTCAGTTTGAATATGAATCTTGTCACTGCTCAATTTGAATATGACCACTGTCACCACTCGAGTTTCAGCAAAGGTAGACCATAAAGCAATTTCAGTCAAGCTCTGCAAAATGCATATCAAGAATTCGGAGACAAAAAACATTGCCTTGGGAAGACACCAAATTTAGTGACTCTTTGACCTTTGACCCTATGAGTGCCAAAGTCAAATGTTGTCATATTTTACAAAATAAATTTTTTAGCTACGCTATCGACTTTGTCGAGCGGAGCTTATGATATGAGTGATTGTCCGTCGTCGTCCGTGTCAATGTTTTACTTTTTTGACTTCTTTTTTAAAACTATAAGCAGGAATGCTTTGATACTTGGTGTATATGTACCTTAGGTAGACCTCTCTCAGATTTGTTCATTTTGTAATAATATCTTTAATTCTCTAATTTTGGTGAGTATTCATTTATGGTAAAAAGTGATATTTTTGACTTCTTGTTAAAAACCGCAAGTCCAATTGCTTTGATTACATGTATAATACTACATGTGGACCTCTCTCAGATTTGCTCATTTTGTAATGATATCTTTAATTCTCTAATTTTGGTGAATATTTGTGTCATTTATGGTAAAAAGTGATATTTTCGACTTCTTGTTAAAAACCACAAGTCTACATATTGTTCATTGTCTAATGATATCTTTAATTGGAATGTGCATTTCTAACAGTGGAGCTATCTCAGCCGATAGGCTGCTTGTTTATTTTATTTTTTTCCAAAATTTTGATTAACATCTATAGCCAATATGAAAAATTATATCTAATTGGTCTAAAATTTAAAAAAAAAAATATTTGCAAAAATACATAAAAATAGACGAAATTTTGAGGGGAAAAAATATGGCATTTGAATGGTAAATTTAGAAATTGTGATTCTCCTTATATTTGTACTTGCTTGATATCGTAGTTTGTCATTCAGTAAGACAAAGGTGAACGACTTTCATGATTCGTCATGCTCTAACCTATGCGATCGTATTCAGTGATTTATACAAAGTTGGACACGCTTTGCAGAATTTTATACCCATGTATCTCTAAGTTGTGGGAATTTATTGTCTGTAAATTGTTGATAGTTGAGCACGTGTGTATTGGCATGTCCTCCAGTGAGAAGATACGACACAGTGTGTTCTATGTTGCTTGGGTGCACACCAGTGTTCTATGTATTTCTATGGACACTGTGCGAACTGCTGTGGAACGCCAGTCGAAGAACTGGTGAAAACAACCAAATTGATATATGTTGCACATGTAGAGGTAACACTGTTCAGAAGAGTCTCAACAACTAGCAAAATGTACAGATAATCATTGAGATAACTGTCGACCCGCTGTTTTGACTGGTTGTGGTTGTCAGGCAAGGAAAACACATCCGGATTGTTCACAAAAACATCACTTCTCATCACATAATGTGATTAAATAATTATTCAAGATGTTTGATTCAGACTAAGTAATCAAAAATGAACAACAGACTGAAATAATTTAGCAAGGACAGATTTCATGCCGGCAATAAAAACTTCCAGGCAATTAATCACTGAAATGCTACACCGAAATAATGCAATTGAACTGACTCGTCATTATCGCATATCGTCAAAGCACAACGTCTTCATTTGATCAGTTTTACATCCTACAATAAGATCTCGTAATCATGACTAACACTTATTCATGTGTGCAAATTTCAACACTGAGAAAGTTAAATATTGATTCAGTCGAGTGATTCAGTGATTTGATCACCATATTTATTATATTCTAAATTTCACACGTTGTCTTCAATGTTTCTATTCCCAGGTTCAGTGTTGGGTTCGTTAGAAATCCTCGGCAATCCAGCTGGTTTGTTACGCAATATTGGTAGTGGTGTTGCCGATTTCTTTCGACTACCATATGAAGGTATAATACGAGGACCCAGTGCTTTCGTGACTGGTGTGACGAGTGGTACATCATCGTTAGTGAAGCATGTCTCCACGGGTGAGTCATTGATTTGTTAGGGAACTGTTATTCCAAGTTTTATTATTGAATATGCAGTAGTGTTAAAATGTTGGATTCAAATGGCCAATCATCTGCCTTGTTAAATTCGAAACAACCAATCAGTTGTCATGTTGAACTCAAACAACCAATCAGCTTCCATGTTAAATTCAAAACAACCAATCAGTGGCCATGTTGAATTCAGGAAAACTAGTCAGCAAAGAATAGAATATTACTTAAATGGGTAAGCCCAAATTACTTACATCATTGAATAAACTTTTTCTTCAGGTACTATCACCTCGATTACTAACTTTGCAAGCAGTGTTGCTAGAAATATGGACAGACTATCCCTGGATCCAGATCACTTGATGCGACAAGAAGAACACCGGAAGCAAATTCCAGAGAGGATAAGTGAAGGATTAAAACAAGGATTAAGCGGATTTGGAATTAGTCTTCTTGGTATGAACAATTATTTTCTGACATATTAATGAGCAGTAGTAGATTCACTATGGTCTTGTACTTAGGTATTCCTGCAGGAATAAAACTTTTACTCTAGCAATCTTATAAAAATAAATAAGATCCTAGGCTTTAGGCTTTTTTATATATATTTTTTGGATTTAATTATATTTTATTCATATATTTTATTTTATTTTAATTTAAATAAATAATAAATTAAAATAAAATAAAACTCAAACCCCAGGAACTTGAGAAAATGGCTCTCCTCCATTACTAAATTTGTAACCAACCATATTTTTTTCAGACTTTTGTGGTAGGTAAACAGTTTATTTATTTTTAGGTAGAGTTGCACTCAATACCTAGACTGAATAAAAATATCTACAACAGGTCAAGTTGAGTCACCTTCATGAACAAGTGAAATACAAATATTAACAATTTCCACTGCAACTCCTAGAACCTGATCTATGGCCATATAGACTAGTAATTTAATACTACCGATACATTCATATAATAGTTGTGTTTAAAATTCTATTTTAAAGGTGCTGTGGCTGGTGTAGTGGATCAACCAATACAGAGCTGGACAAAGTCATCCTTACCTACCACACGGACACAGAAAGCTACAGGAGTCCTGTCTGGTGTTGGCAAAGGGTTGGTTGGTGCTGTTGTCAAGCCTATTGGTGGTGCTGCTGAGTTTGTGTCTCAAACTGGACAAGGTAAGATAAGTACAGATATGTACTGGTTATGCTAATGAGCTATAGAGCTATTGTTTAGTTATGCTAACGAGTTACTAAGCTATTGTTGAGTTATGCTAATTAGCCACAGAGCTATTGTTGGGTTATGCTAATGATTCACTGAGCTATTGTTGGGTTATGCTAACGAGTCACTAAGCTATTGTTGCTAATTATG